CACGGACACAATTTCCTGACATTTATAATTCACGTCGAGATGGTGTAAATTCTTAAGGGGAGCCTGGCGGCGCGCGGCGGGGTGCGGGGCGGGCTGGCGGGCGGGACTGGCAGCCGCTGCATTCGGACGCACTAAGTCCCACTACAATCCGCGCGCGGGCTGACGCGGACCTCGCCAGGCCAACCGAGAAGTACAAGAGATGAAGGCAATGCCGCTGTGTAGCAGAGCGTTTTCTCCCTTGAAGCAAGCCGTGAGCCGGCGGCGCCGGGACGCACGCGGGGCGGAGGAAGGGGGGTAGTGGAGGCTGTCGTAAAAATGCTGTCCTTCCAAAGCAGTTACAGTGTCGTCAGCCCCGTTTACCTTGTACGCGTGGTACACCGAGGTTAGCGCGAGCGTCATGAAAAATGCACCGCACGCCTCCCTCCTTCCCTCCCTGCCCCACAGTATCTCTCTCTCTCTCTCTCTCTCTCTCTCTCTCTCTCTCTCTCTCGCTCAACCGTGACCGTGACAGTCCCTCTAGCGATTTTGCTCCACCTCTGTCACTCTCATCCATCTACTCCTTTTACCCTTTCAATTACATTTGTTTCCATCTTGGACTGCGGTTTCCTGCTCTTTTAGAAAGAAGGGAGGGAGGGAGGGCGGTAAGAAGGGAGGTAGGGAAGGGAAGAGGAAGGGGTAGGGAGATAGGGAGCGGGGAGGGAGGAAGAAAAACACCCGGCAGCCAGGAGCAAAAACGCAAATCCCCACATGACATCAATTTTTCAGTACGCGGCATGCGCAGAGAGGGCCCCTCCCAGAGCTCCCCTCCGCGGGGCTGCCAAGCAGGCAGCCTCCCTCTCACCCCTAATACAGACACTAACACTAGTTCTCGAGCGCCACTGCAGATTTACTCAATCATGGGGGTAGAGCGGGAGAAGAGGCCATAGCATTCGCAAGCTAGTAAGCACACCTCTCTTTCTCTCTCACACACACGAGCGCGCTCGTGCAAGCACGCACACCAGCAGCATCCCCTCGCACATTCACTTTCTCCTCCCTGCTTCTTCTTCTAGGAGGGGTTGGGGCGGTCTGTTTAGTGTGTGTGTGTGTGTGTTACAGAGAGAGAGAGAGAGAGAGAGAGAGAGAGAGAGAGAGATGGAGAGCGAGCGAGCGGGAGAGAGCAAAGGAGAGAGAACGAACGGGGTGTGCAGAAAGTCGTCGGCATAGTTGTGTGTACGCGCAAATCCGCCCTCGGGGCTCGCATGTGTTGGACCGCAGACCTATTTGTATGCAAGTGGGTGTGTGTGAGTGTGTGTATGTGTGTGTGCGGGGGCGTTAGGATGTTTGACTTTCACTTAGCCCTCTCCACCACTCTATTTCTCTTCAGCTCCCCCTGGTGGCCCTCGAGGGCGCAGTGGGCCACACATAAGCCGCTCTCCTTCGCAGAACCAGCAGCAGGTCACTACACAAAGTTCTCCCTTTCTTATCCGCTCCAGAGGCAGCAGTGTCACCAGGCCAGCCCCTCTCCCTCCCCTCGCCGAATTTTTATCGTCAACTCTTGCGGTCGCGGGGGTCATCAAGTGGACCGCGAGTGCGATCGCTGTTCTGGTCAGTTTGCGCAGACCCCGCCCCAGGGCCGGGCCGGGCCGGGAGAGGGGGAGGCGCGCGGAGGGAAGGACCGTCCGTGGGGGACCCCTAATAGAGAATAAAAGAGTTTGCAAATAGTGCTGCTCACTCGCCGGGGAGGGGCTCGCAGGACGGAGGGGAGGCGACCGGAGCAGTTGCGAGGGCGAGGGGCGATCGCCCGAATAAAAGAGTTTGCGAGCCACTTATTCTTTGCATGTCGAATCGGCAACCTGTTACTGCCGCCCGCCGCTACCCAGCAGCTTCCTCCTCCGCGCGATGGCCTTTGGCTTCGTTCGTGGCCTTTTGCTCGGTTCTCTCTGCAGGCACTCCGAGCGAAAGAGGGGAGAAGAGAGGAAGACGAAGTTTGCGGAGTAAGAACCTTGCCTAATTTTTAGTACGTGGTTGTCACCACTTTTTTAACGACAGCAGCAGTGAACACTACAACGCTCACGAAAATATATTAAAGACCTCCTTTCTTTCTATCCTTATAGCAATGTACGCATTTGAGGTGACGAAAGTACCCATTCGCACGATACTAAACAAACTTTTTTCATAATACTGTTATAATTTGAAGACTCATCGTCTCGTAATACTGTTCAAAGCTTACAGCGATTTTCACCGTTAGCTACAGTGAAAGCCTGCGGGGAGATTCACCGTAGCTTACGGTAGATTCAGTCGGTGAAAATTACTGTAAGCTTTTAACAGTGAAGATGGTTTGTACCGCCCGGGAAACCCTCAACATACAAGTGACCGATGAATGGCATTCAAGTGACACACATGCATGTAATCACAATTCAATTTAAACTGATGGCGATGGCTGTCGAGCGAATATAATAAAATATTTGACGGATTTTCATAATCCATTTGACGGATTCCGTGATCATTTTTTGCGGGGGGGGGGGGGCGAGGTAAACTGGGTTTCCCAGGAGCGAAAAACGCGGTGAAGGGGCAAAACTATTATGGGACAGGAAGGAGGACATATTGGCGTGGAGAGACTCCCGCTTAACTCGCGCTTAGCAGCGGCCAACAGGTGTCTGATCCGACTACAACGAACCGTGTTGATCGGATGTGAGTAGGGGAGCGAGCGCAGCGCGGTGCTCACCCTGCTGCACCCTCGCAAAGTCCCTCGCAGCCGAGCGGAAACTGCAGATTTCGCGACAAGCGAATCCTCCACGCGCTCTTTCATACAACACACACACACCCACACACGGACCGGGAGGGCTGGGGTGGATAGGCGGCGCGGGCGGCGCGGGCAGGCAGGCGTCGGCAAGCGGGGGCCGACCCTCGTAGTGCAGAATGTATTACGGCACTTAGGCTGGTCTCCTAGTGCCACGGCGTGGAGCGCGCCGCGGTTCTGCGTGTGAAGTCACCCTATTTTTTCCTCCCCTCACACGCACACACACACACACACACACGTGCAACGCGCCGCCAGGGAGAGGGAGGGCGTCGGACCGCAGAGGGTGGGCGGACGAGAGAGAGAGAGAGAGAGAGATGTAGAAGGGAAGTGTGCGAATATGTGGCTGCGGTCGGGGGTCGTTCGGTTGAGCTCGTTTATTCGCAACGATTTGTCACGCCGATACCATCGGCCTACGCACTCGATCGAAGTTAGCGATGTGCGCCGTTATTTGCCAAGGGGTTGTTCGTCATCGACACCACCGCGCGTTTGATTGATTAAACGGCCGTGTGTCTTTCTTCTTTTGTCGCTAAGGGGGCCATACTTAGATGACGTTGTTTTCGGAGAAGATTTATAATCTTAAAGCAGGTGCTACGGTAAAACTAATAGTCCGGGAAGAATTGCACCGATGGGGAGGCATTTCTTGTGCCTCATTTCTAAACGTAGCGTCTCAATTAGTCGAAAAAAAGTGGTGTAAAATAATTGTTGCCCTGCCTCGCAGCCCCGAAAATGATTCGTGTACTATACCCTATGAGGAAGGGGAAGAAGTGAAAGACAGAAAGAGCTGCAGCAGCAGAAGGGAATTGTACAAGAGGCGAGGGGTTCTGGCCCCATTCTCGGTGCTTATCCTTGTGCACCTGAGGGGGCGTCTTCCCCCCAAGCCGAGCACCACCGGGCCGGGCTGGGTTGCCGCTGCTCGTTTTTGCACTAATTTGGAATGGCTTTGACAATGCCTCGGCGACAACTAGTATTCCTGCCGGTCGCAGGTCGAGGAGGAGACATTTTTCCGCGCCGTAACAAGGATCCGGCGGGAGCGAGCAAGGGGAAGCTGCGGCCTTTTGCATCGGGTCACCTCCGGGAATGGTGATGAGAGAGGGGGCGGTGATAATGACGAAGACCTGCGCCCGTAAACGGGATGAATGGAAAATGTTTTAGAGTACACCTGGAACAGCGTCACAACCAGAGGGCGATGCACACTGCGAGCAACGAGAGCCCAGCTGAGGACCTCGCCGTCGTTATTCGGCCGACACTCCTCTATTCCATTACGCCCAATCAACGTGTTAATTCGTCCGTCTGAGGCTCTTCTGTTTCTTTCAGTCTCCTCATTCGGAGAGCACGGAGCCTGGCGCGCCTGACACGCCCAGCCAATCAGCGCGGCGGGCTGCAAATAGACCACGGATAGTCAGTCCGGCAGGGCCCACCGGCTCCTCCGGGCAAAACAAGAACGCGCCCTCCTCGATAGGATTCCGTTCCCAGAAGCGACCGCGCAGCGACCGGCCGGCCGGCCTGGGGGACAGCGCCCCGCTGATCACTGTCATTGGTTGACATGAAAGTTCATTGTCACCAACGGCCCCCTCTCCGGACCCGTCGCAATCCTTTCCCTTCCTACTCCAATCCCCTGCGGGCACAGGGGGGGAAAAAGTCGGGACAGACTGCTCATCCTGTTCTCCTCCGCCGGCAGCAAACATTATTTCCGCGAAGATGTTGGTGGCACTGTAAAAGTCGCTCGTTCGTAAAGTCGCGGCGGTTGGCTGCCCTGCCCTGGCTGGAGCGGCCGGGCCCGGGGCCGGGCCGTGGCAGCGCTAGCGCACTTCTTGATGAGAACAGCCTTCTCACGTCAGGCTTGAAAAGCCCCGTCCAGCCCCCTCCCCAGCCCCACCACGCCCGCGGCTTTGCGCTATGGACCGTTCCGACCATTTACCAGGAAAACATAATAGAGGCCCATAAGTGTTCCGCGCAAAACTAACCAAAAGAGAGGAGCGCGGCGCGGGGACGGTGCGGCGGCGCTCATTAAAAACACATTTCCAAGTTGACCACCGCCATAGCGGCGGCAGTACGCGATAATTGTCGGGCGCACTCGATGCAGCTGCTTAGTCACAAACCCCTTTTCAAAAAGCTGGCCAGCACGACGCGGGCGACGAAGGGCCGCGTCCGAGGATGAAGAGGGGCCGCGAGGGGCAGATGGGGTGCGCCGCACGGTGCAACTCACCTGCTGGTGAGCAACTTCAGACGCAGCGGAGGGGGTTGGTGCTGCGAGCGCTGATACGGAGGACGGAGGAGGTGGTCTTGAGGGCGCGCAGGACGGACATCAGCAGAGGCCCTCTCTGCTCTGGCGAGGCTCCCACAAGGATCAGAAGGGCTGAGCCGAGATTCGTGCCTCGCTCAGCCGAGCGCACTCCGGACGCCGACCGGCCGGCACAGCAGCGGAGCAGCTGCAGCTGCCCAGTGAGTTCCCGCCAACTGCCGTGCTGCCCGTGACATACCGTGCGTGAGGCGGCGTGGTTGGTCCCATGGATGGATAACTGAAGGGTAACGCCAAGGAACACCTGTGGCAGAATAAAGCCTCGGATGACACACAACACATTTAGAGAGAGGCAAAAAACACAATCTGGAACACAACAAAAATACTTGACGGGTATATCGATCCCCCTTCATTAACTGAGTCGTGGGTGGCCGGGCCGCACAGTCGGCTCTCGTTGTCAAGGCGCTGCTCTCTCTCACACACATACACACACACTCACACGCAGTCACACGCAGACTTGTCCGTCTGACAGGTGCACCACATTACATGACCGGGCCGGGCCGAGGGCCGGGCCACACATCAACGTCCGGCCGCACCCACACGCGCATATCACATTCACATCAGCGGGGGTGCGGCACCAGATCCATCTCGCTCGCGCCCGACACGATTTGGCGGTCAAGGATAAAGCGTGGTCAGTGCTGTTCTCGGAAAACGTAAGAGTAGGGAGACGGGTAGGGAGGGGGTGGAGAAGGAATGGTGGAGAAAAGCCCTCGAAATGTTTGGTGGGTTCAAAGGAATAACGTACCCACTAAAATCTTCTGAACGTTTCTGTTCATTGCTTACACTGATTTACGGGTGGAACGAAAGTGTGAGTTCAGGCCCTCCCCTATTTCCTTTCTCACAACTGCTCCAAACGGCAAACTGAAATAGTTATGCGCACAGCATCGCGAAAAACAACCGAATAAAAAGAGAATAGCGCGTAATCTGCTGGCACCTGCCACTCCGTCAGTGGGTCACATACCTCCGCGCAGCGGGCCGCCGCGGATGCTGGGCGTGATAACAAATTAATGGGGAACACGTCGCGCTGTGACAACGGGGGACGGGTACGAATGGATGTGACCCCCTGCTGTGTGTAGCGTAGCCCCACCCAGGTGTACAAGGCCTGGGTCGCGTCTGTGTGTGTGTGTGTGTGCGCGTGTTGGGCGCATGGACATCGCCTGAGAGCGAAAAAGTACAAAAACCCAAATGTGTATTCTTGATCTTGAGAACATTGTTCTTGCAGGTGCGCTTATGTTGAGCATAGTCCAAGCATTTCCAATCGACCAAACAAGCTCAATGTAATCTATAAGATCGTGGGACGAAATTTAACACTTTACTTAAGTCATCTCAGAACACTCTACCTCGGTTGCACAAAATAAGCAGACACAATGTGTAGAGCACTTGCAGAAACTCTTGAAAGTGCCTCATGTTCCAGAAAAAGTTTTCCATTCTAAACTCACTGGTAATTGTGTCAACAAACGTATGTCCAAATTGAATTTTGGTCTATTTTCAGAATATATAGTTTTCGTGTCAAAATACCTTTAAATAAAAAGGTTGATTTTTTTGGACATACGTTCATTGTCACGATTACCAGTGAACTATGATGTGATTGTGAACTCGCCCAAGGTTATTTTATCGAATCTTCAGATGTCAGATGAGGCTATAATGTATCAGGTGCAATAACAGATAAGACATGTGGGTTTGCCTACTCACTGGTTCTTGCGCCAGGAAAGGGTCGGCAAGCCAGCCAGCATGCAGACGTCTTTCCCTGTTACACTCGGTCCCGGTATGTTATTGCACCCACAGCCACCAGCAGCTCGCCCACCACGCGTCTCAATAATCTCACCTTCACATCGCTACAGCGGCATGAGAAATTGTTGTCGCGCGCTAAGTGAGCGGCGTGCGTGCGGCTCATTCATATCCAGAGTGGCAATGGACCCAGAGTTATTGTAGAGTCAGGGCGGCGGCGGCGGCGGCCGCGGAGACAAATCTGGGCCGAGCTGTTAGCCACCCGTACGCCGTACTGTCCCGCTGATGAATGCGTCCCGCGTCACACATGTCCCATTCAGGAGAAGCAGTGGCCCCACCGCGCCCATTCATCCGCTGGACACCGGCTGCCGTCTCCAATGGAGACTCTCCATACCACTTCTAGCGCCACACGCTCTAATTCATCATCGCGACGAGACTGCCGGCCCGGCGGTCGGGCCAGGAGGGTTCCAGGAAGAAGAGGGAAGTCCAATGTCTTTCGTGAGCCAACTCACTACTCAAAGGGCCTGCATGAATTTTTGTCAGTTTTCTTATGAGCGCGGCTGCTAGCGCTGGAATACACTGAAAAATATTTCTAGTTTCTACGGGAAAATTTCTCATTCGAAATGGTGGAAAGGAAGTTGCGAACAATTTTAAACTGTTTCTTCGACAAACAAAAACTGTTCTGTAGTAAGTATAATACTCATCGTTAACTGTACAACTGTTTTAAATCGTAAATTAAAACTAGCGATAGCGAAGGAATTGCCCAATTACCTCCAAATACTATACCAGGGCGGAGGTCTTAGCCAGTAGAGAGACACAGAGGAAGCTGAAAAGAGGGAGAGAGGGGGTGGGAAGCGAGAGAGAGATAGAGAGTGAGAGAGAGAAACGAGCCTCCCGATGGTTGACAGACACGGGAGTGCTAAAGTCACGACGCCGGCGTGACGCAAAGGATTAATACTTGGCGGCGGCGCCGAGTTTCGTTTCCGATCGGAGCAGAGATACGGTCAAAAGGGCGAGATATACGCTCTCGCGTTCCGTGCCAGTGGTAACGCCGCGGTGACTCTTCATTGTTTCGGGCTACGGTCACGGCGGCCGGCGGCGGTGCCAGGCGGAGCAAAGCACAAGAAAATATTGAAATCACTATTTGAACTGAAACCCCTAAACAGGGCAAAACCTTATTACACGTCATCATTTAAAAGAATAAAGCAATGTTCGAAATGTACACTGGTGAAACAAGTCACGTCAATTGATGTTTAAGTTCAAAAAGTGTGCGTTTTCTCTACACATTGTGATGTCTTAGGTTAAACGTCAATTAGGGTTTAAACTTTCGAAACTTCCGAAAAATATGGCAGCTGCACACCGCCGAATTTAAACGTTTACAAAACGTTTATAATGTGCACACCACGCAAGTGTGCAACTTGAGTTATACACCATGTTATGTTTTAAATCATAACTTGCACAACGTTGGTGTTTAAATTATGCACACTTTTTTTATCAGTGCATGACCCGCAAAAAAACTACTTCCAAAATGTATTTATTGAAGATTATCGGCCTTTTTACGTCGCCAAATTTTAGAAACCCGTTTTCGGCAGAAAGCAGAAAAATTAAGTATAAATATGTTGAGTCAGAACGCACGCAGACTGAAATAAACGGTAACGTAGCGTCCGTGCTGCATAACTCTCGGGCGGCCCACCGCCAGGGCGTTAATATCGATGCTAATCGTGACGGCAAATATGAAGGCAGCGGGGATAATCGGATCCCGAAATATGTGCGCCGAGCGGCGGGCGTGGCGCAGCGCGGCCCCCGCAGCCCCGCCGCGCAGGGGCCCCCCATGAACACGCCCCCGAAACACAAAACATATTGCACGCACGACGATAATTTGGTGAAAACGTGATTAATTTCTAAATTACTTCTCTTTTACGAGGAGCCTCCCAGCCGCCGTCCCGACTTGGAGCCGGGCGGGCCCCACTATGCCGCGCCGCGCCACGCCCACCAACGCGCTCGGGACGAACGCTCGTGCCTGTGCTGTGGGGCCCCCGAGTGGGAAAGGTGGGGGGCGTTGCTGTGTGTATGTGTGTGTTTGATAGAGCATGCTGCTTAGCCTCGGAATTTACGACGTGTTAAATCGTGTGTATCACTGCTACGCTTTCACATTACGAGCGTGTGCTTTGGCAGATGGCTTGATAGGCCGCAACGGCGCGCGCGAGGTGTATGTGTGTGCGACCTCTCTCTTTCTCTCTCTTTCTCTCTCTAGCACTATGCACGATGAGGTGTCCGACTATGTACAAGCAGAGTCGTGGGGCAATATTACACGTGGGACTCCCCCGGGGGCGCGGCGAATACCTTTCCTGCTGTGGGAACCGCGCATTCGAATCATCTGTGCTTCACAACCCGAGCGACCCCCGCGATACATCACCCGTTCACATGCGTTATATGAATGTAACCCCCCCCCCCCCCGGTCGAAGAGGACTCGGAACCTGTCGATAAATACTTCCGGCTAATCCACCTGAGCACTTGGGACCTCAGCAGCCAGGCCCCCACCTCATTTCGGATCCGCCTTGGCGTCCTGGTGATGTACGGCTTGAGGTGGATGGGGAGACGGGCCGGCCTGGGCATTCCCTCTGATTTCCGCCGAGTATTAAACCCAGAGGAAGGAGGGGGAGAGGGGGTGTGGTACTGAGGTGAGGAGGAGCCGGGATCTTATTTGGCTACGTTCTATATTTGTCTTGGCTAGCATCTTGATTGGGATGAATATAAACCAAACAAGGAGTCGGTCCGAGATCAAAAGGTACGGGCCGGCAGAGCAGCCGGAGAGGTGGGACTAGGGGGGAGTGGAGGAGGGGGCATCTTGGGCACGGGATATGGACGGTGTTGATACAAGGTGCCGGTGCGTGGAGGCCGGGCAAACCATCATCGCCTCGTATTGCTGTTTGTGATGAGGGCGATCAGGGAGGGTGAGCAGATGAAGATGGGGCACGCCGAGGAGGGAGACATGGCGTCCAGGCCACACGGGGCCCGTTTGACGTTTGACCCGGCACGGGCACAGCCACCCTATACGCGAATAGTACAGACGGCAAAAGTACAAGAAGCAGGGCGGTCCGAACGGTCCCCGTCCGCCACCCCCCGGGCGCAGCGCGCAGCAGCCCCGGCGCCTGCCCCGCGCAGTCCGAGCCAATCAAACGGGAGGAAAAGAAGAGCGCGTGTGTGGGGGCGGGTCGTGCAGGGGTGGGCCCCGGCGGGGGCGCGGCGCGGGGGCGCGGCTCCGCCCAGCCGGGGGCCCCACCCCAGGGGCATGCGCACAGCGTCGCCCGCGCGCGCCAACACATGTGCACACGGCGCGGCGCCCCCCATTGGCCCGGCCCCGCCCATGTGTGGGCCGCGGGGCGCGCAC